GGCGGAGGAGGCTGCTATGGCGGGCGGCTTCAGCGCGCCGGCTTGGCGGAGGAGGCGCGCAGGATTGGCCGAGTACGCGAACCGGCTGGACTGCGGCGGCTAGTGGAGGCGCAACGGTTCGAACCGGCCTGAGGAGAGAGCGGAGAGAATAGCGCATCGGACGGCTGTGAAAGATGGAGAGACAAAAATAATTAGGGTTTAAATGGTGTAATAATAATAATAATAATAATAATAATAATAATAATAATAATAATAATAATAATAATAATAAATATAGCAATAATAATAATAAGGTTTAACTATAATAATTAACATGAAAATAAAAAAATTAGGATTTAATTACTATAATAATAATTATAATTATAGAAACAATAATAAATATAATAATAAACATAATAATTATAGTAATAAATATCATAATAATTATAATTATAACATAATAATAAATACAATAATAAGAATAAATATAGTAACTATAATAATAATAACTATAGAAACAAAATATATATAATAAAATAAAAAAAATTAATAGCTATTATAATATTTATTATAGAAATAAAAATAAATATAGTAATATTAAATTTTTTATTAATAATAATAAATATAATATATATAATAATTTCCCAAAATAAACCCTCTTTTTGCACAATTTTTCAGAATGTAAGACTTCATTAGGCGTGATCACGCCCAAAGAAGTTTTACGTTTTGATTTCTTTAAAAAATTTCTCCCTCTCATCAATCACAGCACATTGGATGCGTGGCCACGCCTAAGAATCATTCTCATTCTGCTTCACTCAACCACAAAAATTTCACCTGTCATCAAAACACCAAAAACAAGGCATGAAATTGACTTGAAAACACAACAAAACTAAAAGCACACAAAATCAAATCAAAACACTTGGGTTGCCTCCCAAGAAGCGCCTTTTTTATTGTCTTTGGCTCGACACAATGTCTTTCAAACTAAGTACGTTGCTCAAAAAGAGCTACGCAATCCACTTCCTTGCTTTGGCATCCCTCATAGTAAGGCTTAAGATGGTGCCCATTCACAACAAACCGTTTTTCCGTGGTAAGACTTTTAATTTCAACTGCACCATACGGAAACACGTTAGTAACCAAAAATGGACCTATCCATCAAGAGCGAAGCTTACCCAAAAACAGTTTAAGGCGAGAATGATAGAGCAGAACTTTTTCGCCAACTTTGAATTTTTTCCTCAAAATATTATGATCATGAAATTTCTTACTTTTCTCTTTATAAATCATAGCATTCTCGTAAGCTTCGTTTCGAATCTACTTATAACTTTTGCAACTGTAATTTCCTACATTCTCCAGCTTCACTAAAATTCATGTTACACTGTTTAATCGCCCAAAAAGCACTTTGTTCAAGTTCAACAGGTAAATGGCAAGGCTTACCAAAGACTAACCTGTAGGGCGACATCCTCAGTGGAGTTTTGTATGCAGTTCTATACACCCATAACGCATCCTCTAAGCGTAAACTCCAATCCTTCCTATCCGGCCTCACCATTTTCTCCAAAATTCCCTTTATCTCTCGATTGGAAACCTCTGCTTGCCCGTTTGTTTGCGGATGATATGATGTTGAGACCTTATGAAGAACCCCATCCTTGCAAAACAAAGCTGAAATAGTTTTGTTGCAAAAATGTGTGTCTCGATCACTTACAATTGTCCTAGGCATTCCAAAACGAGTGAAAATCAAGAACTTCAGGAAATCTGCAACAACCTTAGCATCATTAGTTCGAGTGGCCTTTGCTTCCACCCATTTCGACACATAGTCAACAGCAAGTATGATATACAAAAAACCATGCAAAAGTGGAAACAGACCCATAAAATCCATACCCCACACATCAAATATCTCAACAAACAACATCGTTGTTAGGGGCATTTGATTCATAGCAGAAATATTGCCTACTCTTTGACATTTATCACATGCTTTGCAAAATTCATAAGCATCCTTAAATAATGTAGGCCAATAAAATCCAGTATCGAGTACCTTTCTTGCAGTCCGTTGGGAGCCAAAATGACCTTCACATTCTAATGAATGACAAAATTTCAAAATGGACTCATACTCACTTTCGTCAACACAACGTCGAATAACTTGGTCCGCACATCGTTTCCACAAGTAGGGATCATCCCAAACATAGTATTTTGCATCGCTTTTCAGCTTGTCTTTCTTTGCTTTTGTCCATCCTGCAGGGAATTTGTTAGTGACAAGATAATTCACTAAATCAGCTTACCAAGGAGAAGAACAAGAAATTGCAAGTAATTGTTCATCCGGAAAATACTCCGTTAAATGTAATTCATCTTCAACTGTAGGAAGGCGACTTAAATGGTCAGCTACCAAATTTTTGCTTCTTTTTTTATCTCGAATCTCTACATCAAATTCTTATATGAGTAATATCCATCGTATAAGCCGTGGCTTGCTTTCCTTCTTCTCCATTAGGTACCTCAAAGTTGCATGGTCAGAAAATACATTCACTTTAGTACCTAACAAATAAGATCTAAACTTCTCGAAAGAAAAAACAACGGCTAGGAGTTCTTTTTCAGTAGTAGAGTAATTCAATTGGGCTCCATTGAGTGCTTTAGATGCATAGTAGATAGCCCATGGAATCTATCCACTTCTTTGTCCAAGTACAGCCCCTACTGCCGTGTCGCTTGCATCACAGATGATCTCGAAAGATAAGTCCCAATTTGGTGGTTGAATGATGGGCGGTGATGTCAACAACTCCTTAATCTTGTCAAAAGCCTTTCTACACTCTTCATCAAACTCAAAATGCACATCATTTTGTAACAACCGGAACAGAGGAGCAGCCACTTTTGAGAAATCTTTAATGAACCGGCGATAAAACCCTGCATAACCTAAGAAAAAACGCAAATCCCTCACAGAAGTGGGATAGGGTAAAGCAGAGACAATATCAACCTTGGCTTTGTCTACCTCTATTCCTTTGGATGAAACTAGGTGACCTAGAACTATACCTTCTTCTACCATAAACTGACACTTTTCCCAATTCAACACTAACTTGGTTTCTTTACACCTTTTCAAAATCACAGCCAAATTGTCTAAACAAGTGTCAAAATCATCTTCATATACACTGAAATCATCCATAAAAACCTCAATAATCTTCCCAACATATTCAGAAAATATGCTTACCATACACCATTGAAATGTCGCAGGGGCATTGCACAAGCCAAATGGCATTCTTCTATAAGCAAATGTGCCAAAAGGACATGTGAATGTCGTCTTTTCTTGATCCTCCGGTGCGATGGCAATTTGGAAATAACCTGAAAAACCATCTAGGAAACAAATGAGATTTTCCCGCTAACCTCTCAACCATTTGATCAATGAAAGGTAATGAAAAATGATCTTTCTTTGTTACTGAATTGAGCTTACGGTAATCAATGCATTGGCGCCAACTGGTTTGTTTCTGAACCGGTATCAACTTACCACCGTGGTCAGCCTCTACAGTAACTCCCGCCTTCTTCCGGACAACATGAATTGGACTCACCCATTGGCTATCCGAGATTGGATAGATAATGTCAGCATCCAAGAGCTTTGGGATCTCTTTCTTCACGACTTCCATCATAGCAGGATTCAACCGTCTTTGAGCTTGCCTTATCGGCTTGGCATCTTCCTCAAGCACAATCTTGTGGGTACAAAGAAATGGGCTAATGCCCTTGATGTCAGCTAATGTCCATCCAATAGCCTCTTTGCGCTCTCTCAAAATTCGGATCAACTTTTCTTCTTGGCTAGAAGACAATGTAGTAGATATGATTACTGTTAATGTCTCTCCAACTCCTAAAAAGGCATATTTCAAGTTCAAGGGCAATGGCTTCATCTCTAAAATCGGGGTATGCACAACAGACGGTAACAACCCCTTATCAGATTTTGTTAAAACTGAATTGACAAAAACATAACTTAATGGTTCAGGTGTGAGAGAGTGCAAATCCAGAATCATTTCTTCCAATGCACCACGTATGGGAAATTCATCCATAGAGTTCATGTCCAAGCAGTTTGTAAGTGCAACCTCCAATTCATCCTTTCCACTCAAGTCAAAGACTTCCTGCACATTTTCAGTAAGGACATCTACACAATACAAGGTATTAGGCTCCATGGGATATCCCATTGCATCAAAAATATTGAAATGAACCTTTACACCTTCGAACTTCATAGTCAATGTCCCTGTTTTAACATCTATCTTTTTTTTGTGCAGTGCACATAAAAGGCCGTCCAAGCAAAATGGGGGAGGGATTAGGTGAATTGTCATCATGCATATCTAGAACATAGAAATCAACAGGGAATATTGACTCATTCACTTGCACAAGAACATCCTCAATTATCCCTTCAGGGTAAGCGTTGGTTCTATCGGCAAGTTGAATTATTATCCCCGTTTCTTTTAAAGGCCCAATGTCCAAGGAGTTAAAAATAGACTTAGGCAGAACATTTATAGCTGCTTCTAATTCCAACATAGCCCTTTTAATTTATATTTTGCCTATTTTGCACGGGACTACAAACATACCTGGATCTCCGCACTTTTGAGGCAATTTTCTTTGAAGCACAGCGGATACAGTCTCTCCAGCTAGCACCTTTTCGTCCTCTTAACTTTTGCTTCTTAGTATACAGTTCCTTCAGGAATTTTGCATAACGGGGAACTTGCTTAATTGCATCAAGTAAAGGGATGCTTAGCTCTACTTTCTTAAACATCTTCATGATCTCTTTGTCCTTGTCACTTTTAGCCGGTTTCGCTAACTTGTGAGGAAATGGAGCACTATTAAGATTGGATTGAATAGGAGGATAAAAAATTACCTGATCAGTAGTCTTGTTCGCTTCATGCTCAATCTCTTTCTCAATCCCCTCTTCATCTCTCTCATTTTCAGTAATCACCTTCGAACCCTCCAGCTCCTTACCACTCCGCAAGATCATTGAACTAACATTGCTCGGGTTCATGTGGGTTTGAGCTGGCAGCTTGCCTTTTTCCTTTTCTTTCATCTCACACACCTATTTCACGACTTGAGACATCTGATCTTCCAAGTTCTTTATGCTTGTTCTCGTCTCTTGCTGAAATTGCAAAACATTAGAGGCAATTGTTTTCACCATATCATGCAAAGAGTTACCAGAAACGGGAGCTTGGTGCATAGTCCTTTGTTGCTGCTACTGTGCTTATGGTTGGAAACACGGTGGTTATTGTTGTTCAAAGGATTGTTGATTCTGATTACCATATCTAAAATTGGGGTGGTCTCGCCATCCTGGATTGTATGTGTTTGAATATGGATCATAAGCCCTTCTTGGTGCAAAACCTGCATCATTCACTTCCACCTCTTCTCTTAGTGTGGGACAAGCATCCGTGGGATGCTCAACATTCCCACAAATTTCACACGGCTTCACTTGAGCATTACCTACAGCAAGTTTCCCTCGGCCCAAATTGTTGAGAGTTCATGGCCATATCATTAAGCAATTCCCAAGCTTCTCTCGGAGTATTAATCATTAAAGCGCCTCCACTGGCAGCATCGATAATCCTCATGTCAATAGAAGTTAGTCCTTCATAAAAATATTGAATTAAAAATTGCTCAGAAATTTGATGTTCCGGATATCTAGCACTTAACTTATTAAATCGATCCCAGTACTCGTATAAAGACTCCCCTAATATTTGTTTGATGCCACAAATCTCTTTTTGCAAATTCGCAGCCCAGGGGTGCGGGAAAGAACCTTTCAAGGAACTTGCGCTTCATATCCATCCACGTGGTCACACTCCCGGCGGGCAAGTTGAACAACCAACCCTTGGCTGCATCTTTCAAGGAGAATGGAAAAGCTCGGAGTTTTATCTGCTCCTCAGTGATTCCCGCTGGTTTCATGCTCGTACACACCACATTGAATTCCTGCAAGTGCTTGTGTGGTTCCTCCCCTGCCAAGCCATGGAAAGATGACAATAAATGTATTAGTCCATATTTAAGCTCAATCGAAACCTTAAAAATAATAATTGGTGGAGGCCTGGCATATTCACCCCACGACATGACCCACCCCACATCAAAATATTCATTTTCCTCCTAGCCCAAGACCCACACATTAAAACCAAATAAAAATTTGTTTGAGACCCAACACACTTTCTCTAGGGATGGCAACAGTGGCAAGTTCCATTCCAGACCCATCTCGGCTCAAGTGTTATAGGACAAGTTCACATCCAAAACTTTTTTCTTCAGACCTGTCACAGCCCATAATAATAATAATGTATTGGGCTTATAAAATTAGATTGATGTATAGTCCAAGGTCGGACACGGAGGTCAGGCAAAGACAAGGTCGGACACGGAGGTCGGACTAGACAAGGTCGGACATGGACGTCGGGCAAAGACAAGGTCGAACACGGAGGTCGGACAAGAAAAGGTCGGACAGGGAGGTTGGACTAGACAAGGTCGGACACGGAGGTCGGGTAAAGACAAGGTCAGACACGGAGGTCGGACTAGACAAGGTCGGGCAAAGACAAGGTTGGACAAGACAGACACGGAGGTCGGACTAGACAAGGTCGGACACGGAGGTCGGGCAAAGAGAAGGTCGGACACGGAGGTCGGACAAGACAAGGTCAGACATGGAGGTCAGGTAAAGATAAGGTCAGGCACGGAGGTCGGACACGGAGGTCGGACAAGACAAGGTCGGACACGGAGGTCGGACAAGACAAGGTCGGATACGGAGGTCGGACAAGATAAGGTCAGGCACAGAGGTCGGACAAGATAAGGTCGCGCATGGAGGTCGGACAAGACGAGGTCGGAAAAGATAAAGTCGGGCGAAGAAGGATGAGATGGCCGATATGGAGGTCGGTCGAAAGAGGAAGTCGGGCGAAGGAGGATGAGACGGCCGATACGGAGGTCAGTCGAAAGAGGAAGTCGGGCGAAGAAGGGATTTCTCAAGGCAGTCGGTCGGTCTGCAGTCCATCTAAAGTTTGTTGGGTGGATGAGGGGTCGTTCGGGACCAGCCGACCATTTGAGGAGGTAAGGTGACAGGAGGCAGTCGGTCGAAATAGTTGGGTTCTGTAATTGATGGGAGCGGTTGGTGAAATAGATAAAACACGTGTCAATGGAGGAGGAATTAGCGGGCGGTTTAAGGCAGTTGATATAACCGACTAGGTGGCGTTTTAAAATATTTCCTTAGGGAATATTTAAAGATTCAGATCCCTCTTGGAAAAGGATTTTCAATAATCTTCAATCGACATCAAAGTCTGGAATTTCTTTTGGGGATCACCATTTACTTTTTCAGTCTGTAATAGTTATTTTTCCTAGTTTACTTATGTATCTATGGTGTCTAGAGATTCTTAATCTCAGACATTTATTTTATCAAATTCGAAGTTTTTTCGGATTTTACTTTTTATTGTTGAAAAAATCACTCAACAATTTGGCGACTACAGCGGGAGAGAAAACAAGATAGGTAATCCTACTTCCAATAATGACTTCATACGTTTACGTTCTGGGCGGATTATCGTAGAAGTACAATGGCAGGCACTCAATCTCAGAACAACACCACCAGTGTTGGAGTCTCTGCAACGACATCCAATCCGACCACAGTTGTCCCGACTACATGAGGGACATCTCAAGTGCAACCTGAATGGTTAACTTATGTTCAACAATTAAACAATCAACAAATGGCTACTATACAAACAATGCTACACGATCAACAGAATTTGATGCAGAACATCCTGGATCAGGCATTGTCCAAAGTCACATTGCATTCGAATATGCCTCCAGCCATGTCACCTTCTTGCTTTCAGGCGACTTTTCCAGGATCAACATTTGCAGGGCCATCATATGTTGATAGTACAATTCCAAGCGCCTAAACTCTCAACCGAACAGATAGGGGAAAGACTCCTCTAACTTTCCCAAATAATGTTCCGTTTGGGACCAAGAGTAGATAACACTCAGCCGAACATTCTAAGGGAAGAAAGGCAAGGAGGACATGTGCAAGATCCCATCCATATCCATGATCATCAACAACCTCGTTTCGATCTTGAAGAAATTGTGCATGTCTTGAGGGTTTATTTCGGCATGAATCCCCCTATGGCAAACTGCCCAGCCTATCAAAGACCTTTTCCTGAAAGGATTATTAACGATTATCTACTCCCAAGGAATTATCGACCACCAGACTTTCATGCTTTCTCTGGAGAAGATGGATCCTCCACCATAGAACATGTGGGTCGTTTTACAGCACAGTTAGGAGAAGTCGGTAATAACCCTTTTTATAAACTGCAACTATTTGGTTTGTCTCTTACCAGGACAGCTTTTTCATGGTTTGTAAATCTTCCACCTGGGCAAATACAAACCTGGGAAGGTTTAGAAATGGCATTCCATGCTAGATTCTTCAACCCTTTTCCAATTTTTTCTCTTACCGATTTGTTGGAAATGAAACAATTTCCAGAAGAATCAGCCTCACAGTTCATCGAAAGGGTACGGTTGATGAAAGGACGATGTTCTACAATAATTAATGAAAAAGAGATGACCAATTTGGTGGTTCGAAATATGCATGGTCGCCTAAGAGAGGCACTCACTGCACATGATGTGGAAGATTTGGCAAGTCTTGCATCCAAGGCGGGACATTTAGATTCTCTTTTCAGAGAAAAAGATCAGAATTTTAGGCGTAATAAAGTTTAACATATTGCTACTATGGAAACAGAAACATACAACCCTAATTTTGATCAAACGGAAGAAATGGCAGCCGACATCATCTCTGGAAAGCCTTATGTGTGCTCCAAACTAAAGCCATTCCCAGGAACTGAAGGAAGAGACCAATGTACATTCGACAGTTCAAAGGCTGACAAAATCTTTGATATTCTGCTGACAGATGGCCAGATCCGAATTCCAAAAGGGCAAAGATTGGCTACTAAAGAAGAAATCAAAGGAAGACCATATTGTAAGTGGCTTAATTCTTTCACACACAATACAAGCCAATGCACCCATTTCCGAAATGAGATTCAAAAGGCCATCAAGGCAGGACGGCTCAAATATATTACTCTGGGTGTAGAACAACAACCTTTTCCAAAAGTAACCACAGCAATGGTTCACATACAAGCAAATCCCAAACCGAGAAGAATAAATCAATCAAACAGCGGCCGACAAGAAGAAAGTTGATGTGAGATACAGGAATTCCAAATTCGTAATTCCAAACGCAGGTATGATGTGAGATACAGGAATGGAGTCCTTTCAACAAGACAGCCGAACGACGTCCAAGTCACTGCTGATTATCCAACAGGAGTTCGTCGTTCGGCTGTCTTGAGGAATTTCGAATACAGAAGAAGGACCAATAGACGAGAAAGTTGAAGGCTTCAGATGTCAGTATTGTGAACGAATCAATATCAATCCATCTCTTGAGGAATTTCGAATAGAATCTCTGACGGCTCAACTTGGAAACGAGACGGGAGAAGAAATTCTTACAAAAGAAGCAGATTAAAGGTCTGTCAAATCTCGGTTAGGTCCACGAGTCCCCTGCCGAATGACAGGGATTCACTGGATTGAAGAAGAACCTCTATGGGCAAGTCTGGTGGATGATATTATAGAAGAACCATAATAGGCAAAGATTTCAAATCCTAATTTTCAATCAGAGGTTCCTCCGATAGTCTTCCCTCATATTTCAGAAGGCACGACATCCTATTTAAAACCTCTATATGTCAATGCACACATTTTCGGGAAACCAATCACAAAGGTTTTTATAGACAATGGAGCCGTCTTCAATGTTATGCCATTAAAGACACTCAAGAAGTTAGGGAAATAAATTCATGATTTATCTCCAGTGGATTTTGAAATGACCAATTTTACAGGGCAGCCGACCAAACCAGAAGGTATGATGATCGCTCCAATTGATGTATGTCCAAAAATAATTTATTCCGTATTTTTTGTAGTAGATGCAGACACTACATATTCGGTCCTACTTGGACGAGACTAGATTCATGCTTCTCAATGTGTGCCTTCAACACTACATCAGCAATTAATGTTCTGTGAGGGCAATCAGGTCTTTAAAATGAAAGCAAATGACGACCCTTTCGGCGAATCAGAGAAAGTTGAAGAATTAGTATTTTATTCCAGTCATCTACCCCCAATGTCTCAAACATTTATGGCTAGTGAATACCCAAGGAAGGGTTATAGATTTACCGACCCGAATTCAACGTTCTTCTAAAAAAGAACAACCTTACTGTATGGCTCATAACGAAGCCAAACCTATTTTATAGTATATATCTTTTATGGATAGTACAAGTTTAGAAGATTGTAGTTTACTTATTAATCAGTTTTACTTAAATCAGCTTTTGGAAAAAGCAGAAAAAATTAAAAAAAAAATTGATGTTCATTTCCAAGAGGATGAACAATTTCGTTGGCCCAACCTATTAGAGAAAACAGAGCCAGCCTTTCCAACACAAGATCTTTTGCTGGAATTTAACTTAGGAACCGACTAAGTTCCAAAAATAATAAGGATAAGTGGTTATTTGTCTGAGGAGTAACAGGTAAAGATGCTTGAGGTTATCAAAAACAATATTGATTGTTTAGCTTGGGATTATTCAGAGATGCATGGTCTGGAGCGAAGTCTGATAGAGCATCGGTTGCCTATTAGAGAAGGTTTTAAACCTTACAAACAACCTCCAAGGCGTATGAGTCCTGATTTGATGCCTCAAATCAAAGAGGAAATCCAGAAACTTCTCAAAGTGGGTTTCATTCGGCCTTGCCGATATGCAGAATGGTTGGCAAATATTGTTCCAATGGTTAAAAAAATGGTAAGATTAGGATATGTATTGATTTCATGGATCTTAATATAGCCACTCCTAAAGACGAATATGTTATGCATATGGCCGATATGCTAATTGATTCAGCAGTAGGACATAAAATCCTTAGTCTGATGGATGGTTATGCAGGTTATAATAAAATCTTTTTGGCAGAAGAAGATATTCATAAGACAACATTCAGGTGTCCAGGGGCTTTGGGTATTTACGAATGGATGGTCATTACATTCGGTTTAAAGAATGCTGGGGCAACTTATCAAAGGGCCA